AGTTCAAAGCCAGCCTGGGCTACATAGTGATTTCAAGGCCAGCCTGAACTACATAGCAAGACACTGTCTCAAAAAAAAAAAAAAAAAAAAAAAAGTTGAGCCAGACTCGGTAGTGCATGACTCCAAATCCAGTTACTTGAGAGGCTGAGGCATGAAGATCACAAGTTTAAGCCCATCCTGAGCAACTTTAATAAGACCCTGTCTCAAAAAATAAGAAGGGCCGGGGGGTGTAGCTCAGAGGAGAGCTCTTGCTGAGCATCTGGGTTTGATCCCCCACAAAAGATAAATAAAACGACATAGTAATTCTGTCTGCTTATAGTAATGCATGCTTGTAATCCCAGCACTTGGGAGGCTGAGGCAGGAGAATTGTGTTTTGGGTTTTTTTTAAATTTAAAGCACAACATTTATTAATACATTTTAGATACAAAAAATGATAACATTCATCATAGAGAATTTGTACCTGTACATGATATGATATCTCTTACTGCTTTTTTTCCATCCTCCCGTCCTTCCACCCCTCTTCCCTTCCTTATATACAAAAGCTTTTCCATTTTTTTCTATTTACTTTTTTTTCTTGTCCCCCCCCCCTTTTTTTTGGTACTGGGGATCGAACTCGGGACCTTGTGCTTGCTAGGCAGGCGGTGGTACCATTGAGCTAAATCCCCAGCCCCTCTCTTGTTGCCCTTCTTATTTGAACATTTTCTTCCCATTTTTCAGTGTCTATTATACATTTTAGCCTTAGGGCCGGGAATTTAGCTCAGTGGTTCTGGCGCCTGCCTCGTAAGCGCAAGGTCCTGAGTTCGATCCCCGGTACCAAAAAAAAAAAACCCACACATTTTAGCCCTAATTTCCATTTATGGTTTCTCACATCAGATGTAGTTTGGTTTTTTGTTTCTTTTTTTTTTTTTTTGGTACCAGGGATTGAACTCAGGTCCTTGTGTTTGCAGGGCAGGCGGTAGAACCACTGAGCTAAATCCCCGGCCTGTATTTTGGTTTTTTTAAACAGAGTCTGGCCATGTAGTTCAGGCTGGCCTTGAACTCACAGCAGTTCTCCTGCCTCAGCCTCTTGAGTGTTGGGATTATAGATGTGTCCCACCATGTCTGACTGAGAATTGTGTTTTAGCCAGGCTGAACATAGCTCTGTCTCAAAAATAAAAAGGAGGCTGAGGGTATAGTGATAAAGCATTTGCTTAGTATGAGGCCCTATGTTCAATCCCCCACACCACAGTAAGAAAGAAAAAGGAGAGAGGGAGAAAAGAAAGGAAAGAAAAGGAAGATCCTGAAAAAGAAATCCTTCATCCAGATTGTTTTGCTGGAGAATTTACTATACACTTAAAGAATAGTTAATACCAGTTTTACATATGTTCTTTCATAAAATATTAAAGGAGGAACACTTCCTAACTCTTATGAGGTCAGTATCTTTGGACCAGAACCAGACAAAGCAATATTTAAAAAAATAGAAAATTTAAGACTAATAGCCATTATAAACTAAGATGGAGGAATTCTAACAAAAAATGTTACCAAATCACACCAAGCAGTATATGAAAAAATTATATATAACAGCCAAGTGAGACTTATTTCAAATATACAAGATTGATTCAGTAATCAAAATAACAAGAATAACCCACCATATTTGCAGTGTAAAAAAGGAAAATTATAAACATGGAAAAAGCATTCAACAGAATGCAACACCCATTCATGAGAAAGCTCTCATCAAAGGAGAAATAGAGCAACAACTTCCTTAGCACCCTCAGGAAACCTCCAGCAGCAGGCTTGGTGGTTCAGGGCTGAGGGGGCCACATCTGAGTCCGGGATTCGGAGCCAGTCTGGGCAGCACAGTGAGACTCAGCTCTTCCAGACAACCCGACTGCACACTTCACATCACACTTGGAGACGAAAGACTCAGTGCATCCCTCCGAGGGCTGAGGGTAGGGCGAGGGTGTCTTTCTTACCACTCAACTCAACATAGGCCTTAAGTTATTTCAGAGATGAGAGCAAAGTGGCTGCCGGAGACTGAGGGATTGGGAAGGGATGGGTAACACGACTGAGCACTCTGGGGATGGAAGAATCATTCCTTGTTGGTAGAGGTAACATGAAATGACACATAATATTGAATAGAAGCACGCACAAATGAATGCATTTAAGACTGGAGAAATCTGAATAACTTCTAAAGATTGTGCCAGTTTTGCCGATTTTGATAGTTTGCTCAGGTTCTGCAGGGGGTCGGCAGTGGGGGAGATGGGATGATGGGTACACAGGCCCTCTCTCTGCTGTCTTTGCAACTTCTTGAGAATCTCTTACATTTCTCTAAACAAAAAGGTTTTTTTTTTTTGGTACCAGGAATTGAGCTCAGGACCTTGAGCTTGAGAGGCAGGTGGTGGCTGGCACCACTGAGCTAATCCCGGGCCCTAAACAAAAAGTTTTAAGCCTCCTGACTTCTTCAATTTTGTATCCCATCCTTCCCCTCACCTAAAAAGAAATTAGGTTACCATTTTGTATATACAATGGTATTTACAGTAGTATATTTTTCCCAGTCCCTTTTTAGACAGATGGTCTCCTGTTTATACATTCTGTTATTTGTGCCCTTTTTAGTTACTTTTCAGTTGATAAGGATAATTCTATATCAGTAATAAAAGAATCTTTTTATACTTTATTTTTTCAGAAGAGACATTATACTGATATATCTGTGTTCTTGGTTTACAGTGCTGGGGATGGAACTCAAGCCCAGCCTTGTTTATTTTATTCTGAGTCAGAATCCTACTAAGTTGCCCATCCTGGCTTCAAACTTGGAGTCTCCCTGCCTCAGGCTCCCAAATAACTGGAATTGCAGGCATTTGCCTTCACGCACTGATATTTCTGTTTCCTGTTAAGAAACTTTGAAAGGTTGTTTCAGTGCTTTGTTTTTCAAGATAATTGCCTAGTGTAAAATCTTCCATATTTGCTATTGTGTGAAATATATCTCTAAAATGAACTTTAGAAGTTGAATTTCTGTTTTTTTCTTTTCTTTTTTTTTTTTTGAGGCAGTGTCTCACTATGTAGTTCAGGCTGTTCTTGAATTCACTACTTAGTCCAGGCTGGCCTTGAATTCTCAGTGATCCTCCTGCCTCAGCCTCCCAAGTGCTGGGATTATAGGTGTGTACCACCACATCTGGTTTAGAAGTTGGATTTCTGAGGGCTGGGGATTTGTGTTCAGGAAAGCACAAGGTCCTGAGTTTGATCCCTGGTAAACCGGCCCCCCCAAAGTTGTATTTCTCGAGTGAAATTTTCTGCAATGCAATTTTCAGAGCCACTGTCAGATCAGACCACCCTGCCGGAGGCCGGTGCCAGTTTACCAGTATTACCAATGGTGTTTTTCCTCACCTCACCTTCTCACCAATAACTTATTTTTAAATTTTAGGACATTTGATAATATATTGGGTTAAAAAGAGCTTTTTTCTTTTCCTTTTCTTTTTTTAAGGTACTGGAGTTTGAACCCAAGGGTTTTATACTAAGCTTCGTTCTCTCTTTTAAATGTTTCTTTTGTTTTGTGACAGGGTACCAGAGTGCTAGGATTGCTGGCATGGGCATGTGCCATCACACCTGGCTAGTGGAGGGAAGCTCCTTGCTCTTTGTTTTGGTTCCATATTTGAGATAGGGCAAACATCTTGTCTGGGCTGGTCTGAGTGAAGACCTGCAGCTGCCTACTGCTGCTGAACCCTAGGCATAGGGGGGTGGACATGGTGTCCCATGCCCAGGTTACAAACACAGCCCTGCCAGAACATTTTTATACCCAAAGAGCCTAGGGAGAGGAAATGTCCACCCCGGGGTCATTTTTGGGGAGAGAAGTCTGTGCATAGGCTATATTCTCTAAAATCTCTTTTACTAACTGACCTGTTTTGAGACATGTTATCCAAATAAAAGATGTTTCTATACCAAAAAAAAAAGTGTTTCAACATAATTTTAATTTTCTTTTCTCTGATAACTAAAATTAGACATCTTTTTTATATTTTCAGAAGACATTTATTTCCTATAAACTGTGTGCATATTCTTTTTTTTTTTTTGCGTTTTTTTGGTACCGGGGATAGAAGTCAGGTCTTTGCACTTGCGCAGCAGGTGGTGAAACCACTGAGCTAAATCCCCAGCCCATATTCTTTTTTTTTAATGTGTGCATATTCTTTAGATCATTTTTTTCCTGTGAGTCACTGATTTGTAGGAATAATATATGTTATAAGCTCATTGTCTTTGATATGAGGCTCAAAATTTTTTTCTGCTTGTCATTTGCCTTTGCCTTTGTTTTTCTTTCTTAGTTACACTTAGCTGTTGTGGCTCAGAATGTTGTACCTCTTGTACCTTCCCTATCACAGGGTTCTAAATGCTGTGGTGCTTTAGTGCTCTCAGGTGCAGCCCTGCTGAAATCTGCAGTAGCCCCTCCACCAGGAGGCGGCGGTGCTACCTGAGGCAGTTGACTGTTTCTAGCACTGGGTCTAGTTCCAAGGTCTCCTCTGCCTTGTTGCAAATCTGGGTCATTGCTAGAACTGGAGCAGGTTAATCTCACATCCTCCATACAGTGGTTCTTTACAGGGAAAGGAAGGAAAGGGAGGACACTGGATGATATTCTGGCTTTTACCCCATCTCTCCCCAACCTTTATTCCAAGAGATAGATTCCGGTTGAAGAGGTTTTTGTCCCCTGTGTGGACTGGTTGGGTGACAGCAACTCTTTGCTGGTCTCTAGGGAAGGGAAACCAAACTTTTAGGTGCCGTTTCCCTCCTCTGATCATTTGTACAAAACCCTTATAGATTTCTTCTCCATGGGGACAAGCTCCCTGAAACTGTGGAATCTTAAAATGGTCTTCTGTCACAGTGAGAGCTTGGGAGTCTTGTCCACATTGCAGCAGCACAAACCTGTGGAATTGTTTTCAGAATGAAGTCCGAGTTACTGCTCTGTCTGCTATGCCTAGCTTTTTCAAAATGGATGTAAAAAATATTTGCCTGGAGTAATTCCCAGTTACGGCCCTTCTTAGGAATAGCCAGGCCAGAAGAAGGAAAGGCGGCGGTGAGTGTGACCGGAAATGACATCTCTACCCCACCAAACAAGGAGCTCCCACCAAGCCCGGAGAAGAAAGCCAAGGTAGGTGGCAGAATGGTGGTTATTTTCTACTGCTGTAATTTTAAAAAACAGTGCCTTCTGCTACTATTGCTTGAATCATGAATGTGTTTTCTTTTTTCTGAGCCAGTATGAGTCTTTCCTCAAGTGTGAATGTGCTTAGAAAATATCTTAGGGGGTAGAGTGGACAGGGTCTTGATATGTAGTTCTTCCTGGCCTTGAACTCATTGTGTAGCCCAGACCGGTCTTGAACTCACTGCAATCCCCATCTCAAAAAAATAAAAAATAAAAAGGGCTGGAGTAGCCTTGGGTTCATTGCCCAGTATTACAAATAAGTGAATAACAATCTGGGCACCATAGCATGTGCCTGTAATCCCAGCTAGCAGGAAGATTGTGGATTCAAGGCCAGCCTTGGCAACATAGCAAGACTCTATCTCAAAAAAACCCAAAAAAACCCAACAACAAAAAAATACAGGTAATAATGGTTTAATCATTTGCTGATAATTTTCTTTATACAATTATTATAGCTACCAAAAGCTAACTAATAATATAAAGCTATTACTGATGTTAAATATTCAGATGCCAAACTGCTGGGATTTGTGGTATTGTCGTTAAAGAATTTCCACAGGGCTGGTGGTGTGTCTCAGTGGTAGAGTGCATGCTTAGCATGCGTGAAGCCCTAGATTCAATCCCCAGCACCAAAAAGAAAAAAAAAAAATCTCTTCACTTTCTTTCTTTCTATCCTGGTATTGTTTCCCTGTTTTCTGAGCTCAGAAGAAAGAAAATGCTAATTTTCAGTTGCATCATCCTCATTATTTATAATTTTACTTTGAACTGTGCAATTTATACTTTTTTAATTTGTTTTTATTCTTGTCTATGTCTTTGATGTTGGTCTTTAAAAAATAAAAATATAAAATATTAAAAAACAACAATCAACCTAAAGCCTTTGGCCACCATTCAACCAGCAAAGACTGCAACATCGAAAGCCAAAACACAGCTCACTCCTGTCCCTAAGCAGCCAGCCCCCGCCACCTCCGGTGGGGCGAATAAAAAACCCATGAGTCTTGCTTCAGGCTTAGTACCAGCTGCCCCACCCAAACGCTCTGCTGCTGCCACTGCCAGGACTTCCACCTTATCTTCGAGAGATGCAAAGCCAAAGGTAAGTCGTCTCCAAGTCCCATGCCAGGGAGCAGTTTCTCCTCTGCACGTCGGTGGACTCAGACTGGTAGAGTTGAGGAAGGGATAGGGTGCTTGTAGAATCAGTTTGGGGGTCCATGGATACAGCGCTGGCCCTTTGAAACCCTTCTGTTCTTTCTACTGTTCCCTGCCTCATTTAGAAGCAATATTCTTCTACTTTGGTACCTCTTCCCTTTTTCAGAGCTATTTCTTACTCTGCCTATTTATGTACCCATGAACCAGGTTCCCCAGCTCCACATACTAATCAGATACTCTTTGTAGGTATAATTCCCACATCTAATTTAATTATTTGCCAATGTCTAATCCCACAGAGGGGAATTTTCTGCATTACATTAGTGCTATCCCAGTCTTCCAGCTGGTCTCAGCATGTTCCAGCAGCACATGACCGATTACTTTGCTTTTGCTGTTAGGCCACTTCTCCCCAGGCTGTTCCTAAGCTCTGCACCTTCCCAGGTCACCCTCACTTTCTTTATCACCCAGAAAACGATCACACTGAGAGCCACATTAGCTTTACAGAGTTTTTGAGGAGCAGAGAGTCAGTGGAAGCTGAGCTGCCTCCTTACCCTCTTGTTTTGTTGGAGAAGGGCCTGTACGTTGGTCTACCAGTGCTCCACATTCGTGGTGGGCAAAGCCTCCCATATGAACATGCCATGGGCTGATTTAATCTGGTAAAGAAAACTGGCAGAACCTAGGAATTGTCGTCTAGGTTGAAACCCCAGCCAAGAAAGTGAGAGATGGTTTCATAGAGTAGGAATGATAAAATCTTGTAATGCTTTCTCTCTGATCCTCATTTACCAACTTGGCTGCTTCTCTATATCTTTAGAAACAATTTATTTGAATGAGAGAACAGAGGACAGGTGACTGAGCCATGGTGACAGGTCCCCCTGAGGCTTATTCAGCATTTGGTTCCTGAGGACAAGGAGGAGGAGAGGTGTCCATTGAGGTTTCGGTAATGAAGCAAATGCTCCCAGAGTTTTTATATATATTAACTCCTTTAATTCTCTCTCAGCCATTGATGATATAGCTAATAATGTCTTCATGTTATATTGAGGAACATTAAGCTCAGTTAAGTCACTTTCCTAAAGTCTGAATAAGTGGCAGAGCCAGTGTTTGGAGCTTGTGGGAGCCCACAACCTTTTCTAGTATAGCTTTTTAGCATTTCAAGCTGTAGCTGGGCTTGCTTTTTACCTAAGACACAGGTAGAAACCTTTTTGAGAAATTGATAGCAACAGAAGGCTAATAAAATCATTTTTACCTATTAGTAGAAAGATTTATAAAAGAAAACAAAGGGAGAAAAATCTGTTCTGAAAAATAAGTAGATCTCTGGCAGGGGAGAAAATATAAACTGAGAAATAGCAAGGGCCAGGGATTTAGCTCAGTGGTTTCTCCGCCTGCTGGGAAAGCGCAAGGACTGAAGTTCGATCCCCGGTACCAAAAAAAAAAAGAAATAGCAAAATGACTTGAGTCAGCTTGCTGAGATCAAGAGCCTGGTGTCTCTGAAGGATTTCATATCCTTTAGAGATTTCCATCTCAGGTAACTGTTTTGTTTTATTTTGTTTTTGCTTTGAGATAGATAGGGTCTTACTATGTAGTTCAAGATGGCCTTGAACTGGCTCTGTAGCCCAGGCTAGCTGCAAACTCACTGCAGGCAACCTGCTTCAGCCTCCTCAAGTAACTTTTACTAACTTATATCATTATTACTCTTTTTTTTTTTGGTACCGGGGATTGAACTCAGGACCTTGTGCTTGTGAACTTGTGAGGCAGGCGGTAGAACCACTGAGCTACATCCCCAGCCCCGTTTATTTCTTTTGAGGCGGAGTCTCACTTTGTAACCCAGGCTGGCCTCTAACTCTCAGCGATCCTCCTGCCAGTCCTCCTGCCGAAGCCTCCCAAGTGCTGGGATTACAGGCGTGCACCACCACACCCAGCTTATCATTGTTACTCTTACTAGTGAAATACTAAGGCTACATTAGGTTTGTCTGAATTATAATCATATTGGATAATTGAAGAACATCCTATAGAGCATTTGGCTTTGTCTTCAGATTTTCAAGTGACCTGCAAAGGAACCCTTCTATATAAAGTTCTATGATTCATTACCATCAGAACTGGTAGCAGAGCCAATTCTTGATTCCAATCTCAAGGTTCTTTGCCCCATACTCAGGCCTCCATTTGTGGAAATGGGCATTACCCTATATTGGCAGTTAGGCTTGATTTGATTAGATGCCAGCCCATTGTTTGTTTATTTATTTATTTACTTTTTTTTTTTTTTTTTTACTTTTTTTTTTGGACAGGGTCCTGCTGTGTAGTTCAGGCTGTCCTTGAACTCACTATGTATAGCCCAGGCTTGCCTTAAACTCATGGCGATCCTCCTGCCTCAGCCTCCTGAGAGCTGGGATCACAGGTGTGCGCCACCACACCTGGCATACCCTGTAATTTCTAAGCACCTCCCTAGCAGACTCCATTTAAGTGTCCTGCTTGTCTCCACCAGTGCCCTGCCCTCTGGGTGGCATTTCTCTTAGAAAAAATGCTAGGTCACTGTGTCTGTACTTTGGCTTCCTGTTTCAAGTGACATGGTGTTTGTTTATCAGAATAGTGTCTTTGCTCCCTATCGCCATAGCCACTAGGCCAGATCAGTGCTTTCCCTTCCTAACCCTAAGGTTATGTACCATTAAGGTGGTCTTAGTGCTGCTCTATTTGATCTCCTGTATCCACATGAGGAAATTAAGCGCAGAGGGGCTCAGTTCTCTCTCCAAGACCGGACTGCAAGTCAGGCCAGACTAGGGCTGCAGCTCAGGCTTCTGACTGGATGTGGCAGGCGGCCCTGCCACCTACAGCAGCCCTGCCCTGTTACATGCCTGCTGGTGCATGTCAGTGGCAACAAAGGTGGCAGTGGCTGAGCATCACTGTTAGTTTTTGATCTGCTGATGTGTGGATTTAGTCTTGTCTGGCCATATGCCTGCAGTAGCTTCCAAGGCAGTTGTGGCAGTGTGGTGCACCTTTCAGGCCTGTTTGTTTGCACATCATCAAGCTAGTCTGATTCCCTGTTTCCTCACCTCAGATCACACGGGCCCCTCCAAGGCTAGTTTCTTGATTTGTCTGGAGGATTGGGTTTGAGAGCTGTGTGCACTATCACTATCAGTAGCTGCCATACCCTGAGGGCCCCAGTCTTGGGGACAAGTTCACATAAAACCTTCTGTGGCGTGTCTTAGGGCTGTTGCTCACCTGCCACTCTTACCCCTCCCACATTCCCGTGTCTAGCACATTGCAGAGGCGAAGGTTTCTGAGAAGCAGGCCTTACCGTCCAAGCCCGCCTCAGCCCTGACCCTCAGACCTGGACCCAAGACCACCTCTGCTGCTCCAAAGGTCGAATCAGCTGCCGCTCCTGCTTCCTTGGGGCCAAGCAGTAGAAGCCCCCCAGCGCTGCTGTCCAAGAGGCCTGCTGGTGAGTATTACCTGTCCCTCCTTCCTGTAGGGGCCCGTGGGGAGGAGAGCAGGGTGTCCTGAGTATTTACCAAGCCTTGATCTCCATGTGAGTTTAGCAGCCGTGCATATTCAGAAACATTGAGAGTAAAGAGGAATCTTGTGTAATCCCAGGTAGAATTTATTGTTCCTGTCCTAGCAACTCTACAGTTCCCAGTACATTGTGACCATGAGTTTAAATGATGTTAAGAAATAGGCTGGGGATTTAGCTCAGTGGTTCTGTCACCTGTCTTGAAAGTGCAAGGACCCAAGTTCGATCCCCAGTACCAAAAAAAAAAAAGAAAAAAGAAAAAAAAAAAAAGAAAGAAATGGACCCAGGCTGGTGGTGCACACCTGGAATCCTAGTCCTCTGGAAAGCTGAGGCAGAAGCATTGAAAGTTCAAACCCAGCCTGGGCAACTTAGCAATTTGGACCCTGTCTCAAAACAAAAAATATGCTGAGCGTGGTGGTGCACACTGTAATCCCAGCACTCGAGAGGCTAAGGCAGGAGGATTGCCACAAGTTTGAGGCCAGCCTAAACTACATAGCAAGACCTTGCCTAAAAATTAAAAGAAAGGCTGTGGAAGTAGCTCAGTATGAAGGCCTTGGGTTCAATCCCCAGTACCACAAAATGACAAAAAAGGCAGTTCAGTACATAGTGAGTTCAAGGCCAGCCTGAAATACAAAGGAAGAACCTGTCTGAAAAATTGGGAAAAAAGGCAATTCAGGGCTCAGTGGTAGAGCTCTTGCCTGGCATATGTGAGGCCTTGAGTTCAATCCCTAGCACTGCAAGAAGAAAAGAGAGAAGAGAAGAAAATAGGAAATTCACTTTCCCAAGTATGTGTTGATCACCTGCTTCTAAGGCCATGTGGAAATCATTGTTGGGACTGCAGGGGATAAGGAGGCACAGCTCCCGGCCTTGTGAGTGACCTCAGAGCTTTGTGGTGTCTTCCCAAGGCTCACACAGTCCAGCTCAGACTGGACATCCAGTAATATGAATGAATGATGAGTCTTAGCATCAGATGTGCCCTTCAGGTTTTTAATGCTCTCTCCTATTTTTATGTTACATTTTTTATTAGTCCATGTTTGTGATACATAATGAATATATTCATCAAGTCTTAGTCCTTTGGTCCATTTGTTAAATGTGGTATTAATATGTTTGTGCAGCTATTAAGACTGAGGGCAAACCTGCAGATGCTAAGAAGACAGTGGCGAAGTCTGCACCAGGTAATGCCCACCCCGCTGTAGACGCCTCACTCGAAGCCCACTTCTATGCTTTCAGGCTCCCTTTTCCTCTCTTGCTCTCAATCCTTGCTACCTCTCCCTCCTGCCTTGCAGCTGACCTGAGTCGCTCCAAGAGCATCCCCACCAGCTCTGTGAAGAAAACCACCACTCATGCAGGGGCAGCCCCCACGGCCGCAGCGGCCCTGACTCGAGTCAAGCCCACTCCACTTTCCCGGCCCACCATGTCTCCTTCCATGGACAAGAAGCCCACCACCACCAAGCCCAGCTCCTCTGCCCCTAAGCTGAGCCGCCCAGCCACTGCAGCCCCTGCCCCCGATCTGAAGAATGTCCGCTCCAAAGTGGGCTCCACGGAGAATATCAAGCACCAGCCCGGAGGAGGCCGGGTGAGTCAGGGGCTCCCATCCTTGGTACTTCTTTCCTGCTGCATCTGCCACTCATAGGGGCTGCCAGCTGCAGAGTGTGGCTTTGGAGACCTCAGGTGGCTCTCTGGTGGCTGGGAAGGGCCAAGCTGGGCTTGCTCTTCCTTTCTTGGGGGACTCCTGTCCTGTACCTGGGGTTTAGGTTGACGTCTTTGTGTAGAGGCCTGAGACTTGAAGTATGCTGGGTTCTTAGCATGCTCATTGAGTGTCAGGCAAGGCAGAGGCTGGAGCACTGCTCAGCTCCACAGCGATGGCCTTGGAGGCGCTCTCTGCAAGGCTGACCTGTGTTGCTGTTGGCCCTGCTGCTCCCCTCATCTTTATTCTTCTTACTCTTTTGTGATGTCAGAGTTAAGGAGGTCTTGAGTAACTTGGTCTGGTGGTTGAATTCTTTTCTGTTTCAGTGCACTTGAAGAGGTGACACTGCTGGGCCAGGGATTTAGCTCAGTGGCGCCGCCTGCCTCTCAAGCGCAAGGTCGTGAATTCTATCCCCGGTACCAAAAAAAAAAGTGTGACACTCCTGCCACCTGTTAGGGCTCCCTGTGGCCATGGCAGCTAATCTGAGGCAGAGCGGCATGTTAGAATGGGGGACACTGGTGCACGCGAATGTGTTCTTCTTGACCTCGCTTCTGACGTTGCTGTGAATGATGTCCCAGCTGCTGCTTCTGGCTCAGGACTTCGGCCTGAGCCTCTTCTCCCCACACTCCTATGGTCGGGGATCTCTGAGTTGGTCTGTCCTGGGAAAGGGGTGCTTTTTCTACAGGCCAGGGGAACCTGCTTCTGCCCGGTGGCCTAGCCTGGATTTGCGATCTCTACGGCCATCTTCCATTCTTGCATTTGGGCTCTTTCATCCTCTTGGTTTGAAATTTGCCCTCCCTTTATCTCCATCCAGGCCAAAGTAGAGAAAAAAACAGAGGCGGCTGTCACAGCTCGAAAGCCTGAACCTAATGCAGTCACTAAAACAGCTGGTCCCATTGCGAGTGCACAGAAATCACCTGCTGGGAAAGTGAGTTTTATTTAGATTCACCTCTGGGAGGTAAAAAGATGGTAACATTTTTCTTCCAGCCTGAGTCACTTTCCCTTCTATTGTACTTTTGTACTGTCTTTAACTAGCTTCACTTCTTCCCCATGTTCCCGCCTCTGATGACTCACCCATCAGAAAAGTTCTATATAAACCCTGAAAGTGCAGAGTTGGGAACTCATTAGCTCTTCTTTATTTGGGAGTGGAGGGGTACTCGGGATCAAACCTGGGGGCAGTCTATCAATAAGACACATCCTCAGCCCTTTTTTTGGCGGGGGGAGGGGTACAGGGGATCAAACTCAGGTCCTTGCACAGCAGGCATCAAAACCACTGAGCTAAATCCCTAGCCCCTCAGCCCTTTTTTTAAAGTTTGTATTTTGAAACCTGGTGGGATGGTGTACACCTGTGATCCCAGCACTTGAGAGGCTGAGGCAGGAGGATCATAGCAAGTTCAAGCCTAGCCTGAGCAGCTTAGCAACTTAGTGAGACCCTGTCCCAAAATATAAAAAGAGGGTGGGGATGCAGCTCAGTTCAGAGGGCCTGGGTTCAGTCATTCATAGACAGATGGATGGATAGATAGGATCCAAGAACTCGTCACTTCCTTCACTGATGCTGCTCTGAAATCCAGCTGTTACACATGCAGACATGTGGCACACCCAGAGTTATTCCTGATAAGATGTGGCAGATCTTGGAACCCTGATGCCTCTCATAAAACTGCTGCCTAGCAATAACTTTGTTTATCCTGCTGCCCACATCACCTTTAACTGCAAGCTTGTATCCTCATCTCGGTAGAAATCAAAATCCCCCCCAGTACAGGGAATTCAGCGGAGGCGAGTGAAAGAAACCCTAGGCCTCTGCACCCCAGGCACAGCCCAACCTTAGGGCTCAGGGGGAGAAGTCTCAGCCAGCGGAATTTACACGATAGCTTCTGGTCACTTGGAGAGGCCTGCAGGTTCAGATAGGGCTCGTTCCTCGTCGCTGAAGGTGGGAAGAAGGCAGGAAGTGGCAAGGCATGCAACAAGGGATGTGGGTTGGAGTTTCTCAGGGTGGATTTCTGTATCCTGTGGGGAGCTCTGCCGTCCAGAGGCTGCATCATTTGTGAAGCACAAAGGGAAGAAAGAAGCTGGCGACAGTTCTCGAGAAGGCCCAGGAAGAACTCTGTTCCAGACCCTGAGAGCCAGGACTACTGGAGCCACTGGTGAACAACACACAGTGATTGTTTTCAGGGTCGCACACCTTGTAGCCCTGCCTACAGCTGTTCTCTGTACATGAAACTCACAGGATGCAGGACTAGACATTTGGAGGGTTCTAGAAGGAAGAGATGTTGGACCTTTGAATCAAAAATTAGTTCTGGGGGCCGGGGATTTAGCTCAGTGGTTCCGCCGCCTGCCTCACAAGCACAAGGTCCAGAGTTTGATCCCCGGCACCAAAAAAAAAAAATTAGTTCTGTCTAGGCAGGTAACATAGGCCATTATCCCAACTACTTAGGAAGCAGGGGGATAGATCATAAACCTGAGCCCAGCCTGGCAACTTATCAAGGCACTGTCTGAAATCAAAATAAAAAGAGCTGGGAACATAACTCAATGCAGAGCCCTGGGGTCAGTCCCGAGGACCACAGAAATAATATGGGTTGGGTGTGGTGGCATAGCTGTAATCCCAGCACTTGGGAGGCAGAAGCATAAGGATCGCTGCAGGTTCAAGGCCAGCCCGAACTACATATAGTGAGACCTTGTCCCAAAAATCAAGAAGAAAACAATACATTTAGTTCCAAACCTCTGTTGCTCTCTTTCTTGAGCCCTGAGACAAATGGGCCAGGCATGGGGGCAGCCGTGGGGCCTGTGCTCCCCTGCTGCCCAGCGTCTGTATCCATTTGCATTTTCCTATGCACAGCATCTTCTTCCTGTCGCGTCAGCTTCTCCAAACAGTCTGGCTGCATCCACTCCAGCCCCAAACTGAGGGTCAGTCCTCTCCTCGCAGAGAGCTGACAAGCCTGTGCCTGGCCTGTGGGGGTGGGCAGGGTGAGGTGGTGGATGGGCCTGTGGGCATCCGGGGCTGGCCATTGTCCAGACCTTGTGCACCACAATCCAGCTCCCCAGGCACAGTGAGGACCTTGCGCCCCTGCTTGTGTCGTCATGTTATTTGTCCATGTGTTCGTTCCCTTGCTTGCTCCTTCCAGATCCTTTTCCTGTGCTTTCCCACACTTGCTCTACCACAGGTGGGGTCGGAGGGTTCTCGCTGTCACTGTAATCACGTGCGGACTCCCTGCCTGCCCCGTGTCACCTCTAACCAGCCATCTCCCCTTGTGTTGTTTTCTCTGTTCTCTAACATTCCAGGTCCAGATAGTCTCCAAAAAAGTGAGCTACAGCCATATTCAGTCCAAGTGTGGTTCCAAGGACAATATTAAGCATGTCCCTGGAGGTGGGAATGTAAGTATACACACCGGCATCTGAGGCACAGCCTCCTGTGGGGACCCCAGGGACAGGGCCACCTCCTGCAGACAGGACCATGGTGGCCAGGCTGTGGCTTTCGCGAAGAAGCTGTTCAGCCAAGAGAGGGGAGGCCTGGGTGCTCAACGGTGATGGACTTGGTGCCCTTGGAGCCCCGAGACCGCACCAGTGACACCCACATGATCTCTTCTAACCCCATGGGCAGACACCCAGCCTGAGTGCCACAGGCCTGTTGTCCTGCAGTCGTGGCGCTCCTTGGTGAGTCCCTCTTCCCAGTGTCCACCTCTTCCCCAGCCCGTCCTTGAGTCCTTGCCATTATAAAGTCAGAGAATTAGATTTTCCTCCTACCCCATCTCTGCTTTTCCCTTTATATTGATCACTCTTCCTCCTTTTCTTTCTTTCTCTCCCTACCTTTTTTTCCCTTTCTACTCTTTTTCCCCAATTCCTCTGTTTTCAGTCCCTTGATTAACTGGATGTGGTGGCATACATCTGTAATGCCAGCATTCTGGGAGGCTGAGGCAGGACAATCTCAAGTTTTAGCCTAGCCTGGGAAACTTAGTAAGACCCTCTCTTAAAACCTTGTGTGTAGGCCAGGATTTAGCTCAGTGGTTCCACCGCTGGCCTCGCAAGTGCAAGGACCCGAGTTTGATCCCCAGTACCAAAAAAAAAATACCCAGTGTGCTTTCCCCTTGTCCACAAGACAGTGCCCAGCCCACTGGGCTCTGCAGAGCTGTACCAGAGAGGCATGTTGGGAGCCATCACCTCTCGCTGCTTCTCCTCAGCCCCAGCAAGAGAGAACATCCCATGTGGATTTCCCTTGGGCTTGTTCAGTTCCGTGTTCTTCCTGTCCTTTCCAGGGTGACACCCTGTCCCACTCTGGCTTAGTTATCTCACCTGGTGGCCCTTTTCCCAGAGCTCAGCTGTGTTGCCCTGGCCTCCCAACACCCTGCAGGCTACATGGGAGCCTGGCCAGGTGATGGCCTCATCGTGGCCCCTGCAATAAGGGCGGCCACCGTAGCTGAGGTTGTGGCCGTGAGCCTGTGAGGGCCCCCAAGACACTGACCCTTTTAGGTTCTTTGCCCCCAGGGAAGCAGGGAGCAAGGATTCCTAGGAAATCGGCTCCCTGGAGTGTGCGACACAGAGGCTGGTTTGCGTGTGGCATGCGGGGTGCACAGGAGCTCTGAGGATGGTCATCAGCACCCCGTCACCTTCTGCAACCTTTCCATGCAGGCTGTGCGTGGCTGGCAGCAGGGCTTTTCGTAGTGTGAATGTCCTGTTTCAGGCCTTCCACAGATAGATAGCACTGGGAAGCTGCCTCAAGTGGTGTTTCCTGGCGGTGCTGGTTCCTCCTGTAGCTTCCACCCCCATACCCCAGAACCCCACTGTCACTAACAGGCCTGCTGTGTGGACTGAAAAGCATCACACACACGCACGCACGCACGCACGCACGCACGCATGTGCATGCGAATTCTGCACATGCAGGCTCAGAGCAGACCCAGTCAGCACTCAGACATGTCCTGATGGGAGCCCAGGGCCTCCTTGGTCCTTCGGGCCGGGGCACAGTGTGCTGGCAGCTTGGCTTCAGTTTGCCTGGGGCTGAGGTATTGCCTCTGAGCAGAGGTTGGTCAGCATGCATGCCCAGTAGGCCCACAAGGAGGGCAAGGGCAGGGTGCAGTGCTGGCTGCACACCAAGAAGGTGTCCTTCCAGGAACAGGCGTGGCTTTGCTAGCTGCAGGCTGTGCTGGTGAGTGGGCCTTTGGGGCAGCTGTAAAGGGGGTACAGCACATGGCTCCCTGAAGCTGGAGCTCAGGGCCGGCACATGGGGCTCACTCCAGAGGGAGCTGAGTCTGAGGAGGGATCTTGTTAAGGGAGTGAGCGCAGGCTTGTAAAATATGTTTTATTATGAGAATTTAAAATGTATAAAGTAGGCAGAACTCATCAGGTGAATTGGTACTGGTACATCTTTTATGAAGCTCTGTTTACTTTCTGCAAGACTGGTGTTGGGGTCTCTATATAGCAGGCATAGCTCCATCCTCACCTCCTTAGGACAGATGCAGATAGGGGCAGGTGTGTTAGTGACATGCTCCCTTTCAATCTTAGATTGTACCCTACTAGTGCTTCTTTGTGTTTTCCCCCTCAGCACTGGGGGTTGAACCCAGGGCCTTTGTACTACCTACCCAGTCCTTTTTTATTTTTTACTTTGATACAGGATCTCACTAGCTTGCTCAGGCTGGGCTCAAACTTGTAAATTTCCTGCCTTAGCCTCCCAGAGTACTGGGATTACAGCTCTGTGCCACTGTGCCTGTTTTTCAATGAGTTAACTGTTTTTTGATGAGTGGGCTGTCCTAGGGCCTGGATTGTTTTTTATTTGCAGCACAACTCCTTTGTCTGTTTTCTTCTGTTGATGTACATACCTGTGTGTGGCTGGGGGAGGGGCCCAGTGCCTCACACCTGCCAAGCAAGCTCTCTACCAGAGCTCCACCCAGCCCTTTATGTGGTATTTAGAGACGGAGTCTTGGTAAGTTGCTCAGGGTGGCCTCAACCTTGGAATCCTCCTGCCTAATTGTCCTGAGCAGGTGGGACTACAGGTGTGCACCTGCACCTACAGAAATGGACTTTACATTTTTTTCCTCAGAATTTGGCAAGGCTCTTCTGGCCAGTGGGGTTTTTCCTCGGGCGGCCCTTGGTGCCCCATCCTGTGGTTGTCATGCTAAGGTGGGCGTCAGCTGGTCACAGAAGTCTCCTAAGGCTCCTGCAGGAAGGACATTGACAGCAATCTATTGGCCCCCTTAAAAGCAGGACCAAGCACCAGGCATGGTGGCACATGCCTGTAACCTCAGCACTTGGGAGGCTGAGGCAGCAGGATTGCTGTGAGTTCAAGGCCAGCCTAGGCTATACAGCAAGTCCGTCTCTCTCAAAACGCCAGCAGGACCAAGCACAGAGAGTGCGTAAACCACTGTCCAGCACAGACCATAGCTGCGTGATCCACTGGGGAGATTTTTTTAAGACAGGTACTCACATTGATGTTCAGGCTGTCCTTGGACTTGCAGGGATCCTCCTGCCTGTGCCTCTGGGGTGCTGGAATTACAAAGGTGGCTGCCACCATGCTGGACTGCAAATAAACAATCTTGTGAGGCAGTGTAAGGCGATTTGTTCTTTGTTTGTTTTGTTTTTTCCTTGCAATACGGGGGATTGAACCCAGGGCCTTGCACTGTGCTACATCCCCACCCTTCTTTTCTTTTCTTCTTTCTTTTTTTTTTTAGCAGTAGCAGAGTTTATTTGAAAAAGTAAATGAAGCGTGAGAGAGAAACTGGCTCTGCAGATCGAGCTTGGGCCGAATGAGAGAGGAGAAGAGAGATAAGAGTATACCCTGAGGAAGCAGGGCGGCTAGCTGGGAAAAGCCCAGTCCTGGGCACACCCGACACTGCCCTGTAGTGCTCTTCCTTGGTGTAGTGGGATAGTGAGGTTCAGGTAGATCAGTCAGCAGTTTCGCCTGTGATCCTAGCACTTGGGAGGCTGAGACAGGAGAATCCCAGATTCAAGTCCCACTCGGGCAACCTAACGAGAGTATCTAAAGGTGCAAAGGGCTGAGGTTGTATCTCAGTGGTATGGCACCTCTACAAGTGCTCCTCCATATTTCTCCCCCTTTTTGTGTTCAAACCTCAAAATAGCAATGATACAAGTAATAACCAAAGGCACCAAAGTGCAGCATTCTTCTCTTACAAATTGCAAGGGTTTTAGTAAGAATACGCAGCCCTGGGAGGCTGTGGCGAGGTGGGCCCAGCTGTGCTGATGGAGTCATCAGTGGTGGCATTGCTGGGAAGCAGGTTGGCATTGAGAGCCTGAGAACAAGCGGTGGCGGTGGCACACACCTGTGATCCCAGCACTTAGGGAGGCTGAGACAGGAGGATCACAGATCTGAGTCCCTCCTGAGCAACTTAGCAAGACCCTACTGTAAAAGAAAACTCAAAAGAGCTGGGGAAAACAGTCTCAGTCCTTGACCAGCAATCATGCCTGAGGGGGAGATCAGAGCCATGGAGATCATTGTTGCTGTGTTTGTGGAAATGACCTCCATGTTCAGCATGAGCAGTGGGACCAATTGATGCACAGCGTAGATCATTCTGCACCCTTCCTTTCCATTTCCATCCTTCGTGGGAGACTGATGACTGCATGAAGTCAGTGGGAGGACAGAACTACGTATGTCACTGTGCTGCACACTTGTGGTTCCGGCCTCTGAGAGGCTGAGGCAGGAGGATTGCAATTCAAGCCTAGCCTGGATGATTCGTGACTTAGTGAGACCATCTCCAAAGCTAAAAAAATTCTAAAAATTTTGCCTGGGGACGCAGCTCCTGAGTTCAGCCCCACCACCCTGCCCCCTGCACCACCAAAAAACATGACAGGAAGGAAGTAGGCCAGAATGTCACTCCAGAGGACTTCTCCAGGCAGGAGTTGAAGGGGCAAGGTTTTCAGTTGGAGCTACAGGAACATTTCAGAAAGCCGCGTGTCGGGCTCTGCAGCTGTGTGACAACCACCTGGCTTTGCTCTGGCTTTTGCTCTGCTGGGGCAGAGGTGAGGGCTGGGGCCAGGATGGACCAGTGCTCTTTGGCCCTCGGGTGACGACCCTGGCCTTCGACAGCCTGGGGCGGGGCTGGGAGAGGGTGAGAGGAAGCTCAGTTGGCGGAGGTGGCAAAGGCAGCGTGGGCTTGGCCTCTGCCTCCCCTTCTGTGCGAGGCACCTGAGCTCCTGCTCCTCTGCAGGTCCAGATCCAGAGCAAGAAGGTGGACATCTCCAAGGTCTCTTCCAAGTGCGGCTCCAAGGCGAACATCAAGCACAAGCCGGGTGAGTGGGGCCTGCCCCAGGGCCCGGCGGCACTCCCTCCCTCCCTGTGGGCTGAGTGTCTGCGTCCTTCCACAAGGGCAGCCTTTCTGCTTTCTGTTGTGTAGTATTGGGGATGGAACCCAGGCCCTTCCTACTGAGCTGTATCCCCAGCTTGTTTTTAACATTTGAGACAGTCTTACTAAGTTGCCCAGGCCGAGCTTGAACATGCAGTCCTTCTGCCTCAGTCTCCCAGACTGCTGGGGTCCCAGGCTTGTGCCACACGTCTGGCAAGAGCAGGCCTTCTCTGACAAGCGTGCTCACTGGGCCACCTCATTTGAGCCTCCCTGTTCAGATGGGGCACAGAGTCCTGGGGCAGCCTCGGGTCCCTCCTGGCTCCCCGCATTGTGAGCACGGTGTTCACTCCCCTGCCACCCCCGTGACCAGGTCCTCTCTGTCCAGGCGGAGGAGATGTCAAGATTGAAAGCCAGAAGCTGAACTTCAAGGAGAAGGCCCAGGCCAAGGTGGGGTCCCTGGACAACGTGGGCCACCTGCCCGCAGGAGGCAGCGTGAAGGTAGCGAGTGGGTCGCTGGGCCGCCGGGGGAGGTGTGGGCCGGGCGCTGGGGTGGGGCCGGGCAGGTCTGGGCCACAGTGAGTGTCCGCCCCCCCCATGAGGAGTGCGCAGTGCGATGCGGCGCAGGCGCTGGTGGGAGAGGGTTCTCTCCGGCCTCAGTCGGCACCGGCCTCAGTCTCCAGGAGCCATCGTCACCCCCACCATTGCTGTTCCCATCGTCCTCCATCAGCCTGGTGGGCGGGCAGGAGAGGTGGGGAGCCCGGCCCCCGGCCCTGTGAGGGCTGCAGCGGAGGCGGAGGCTCTTCATCCCGGCAGCGGCTCATCCTCTGCCAGCCGGGCTCCCTCCCTCCCTCCC